TTCTATAGCTACGGCTGAAATACAGGCTGTGTTAATCAATTACTATCGCTGTGAAATTCTAACTTGTGTTTATACTTCTATAGCTACGGCTGAAATACAGGCTGTGTTAATCAATTACTATCGCTTTGAAAATCTGACTTGTGTTTACAATTCTATAGCTGCGGCTGAAATACATGCTGTGTTAATCAATTACTATCGCTTTGAAATTCTAACTTGTGTTTACAATTCTATAGCTACGGCTGAGATCCAGACTGTGTTAAACAACTACGATCGCTGTGAAATTCTAACTTGTGTTTATACTTCTATAGCTACGGCTGAAATACAGGCTGTGTTAATCAATTACTATCGCTTTGAAATTCTGACTTTTGTTTATACTTCTATAGCTACGGCTGAAATCTAGGCTGTGTTAATCAATTACTATCGCTTTGAAATTCTAACTGGTGTTTACAATTCTATAGCTACGGCTGAACTCCAGGCTGCGTTAATCAATTACTATCGCTTTGAAAATTCTAACTTGTGTTTACAATTCTATAGCTACGGCTGAAATACAGGCTGTGTTAATCAATTACTATCGCTTTGAAATTCTAACTTATGTTTACAATTCTATAGCTACGGCTGAAATACAGGCTGTGTTAATCAATTACTATCGCTTTTAAATTCTAACTTGTGTTTATACTTCTATAGCTACGGCTGAGATCCAGACTATGTTAATCAATTACTATCGCTTTGAAATTCTAACTTGTGTTTACAATTCTATAGCTACGGCTGAAATACAAGCTGTGTTAATCAATTACTATCGCTTTGAAATTCTAACTTATGTTTACAATTCTATAGCTACGGCTGAAATACAGGCTGTGTTAATCAATTACTATCGCTTTTAAATTCTAACTTGTGTTTATACTTCTATAGCTACGGCTGAGATCCAGACTATGTTAATCAATTACTATCGCTTTGAAATTCTAACTTGTGTTTACAATTCTATAGCTACGGCTGAAATACAGGCTGTGGTAATCAATTACTACCGCTTTGAAAATTCTAACTTGTGTTTACAATTCTATAGCTACGGCTGAGATCCAGACTGTGTTAAAGAACTACGACAGGCTGTGTTAATCAATTACTATCGCTTTCAAATTCTAACTTGTGTTTATACTTCCATAGCTACGGCTGAGATCCAGACTATGTTAATCAATTACTATCGCTTTGAAATTCTAACTTTTGTTTATACTTCTATAGCTACGGCTGAGATCCAGATTGTGTTAAACAACTACGACAGGCTGTGTTAATCAATTACTATCGCTTTGAAATTCTAACTTGTGTTTACAATTCTAAAGCTACGGATGAACTCCAGGCTGCGTTAATAAATTACTATCGCTTTGAAAATTCTAACTTGTGTTTACAATTCTATAGCTATGGCTGAAATCCAGGCTGTGTTAATCAATTACTATCGCTTTGAAATTCTAACTTGTGTTTATAATTCTATTGCTACGGCTGAAATACAGGCTGTGTTAATCAATTACTATCGCTTTGAAATTCTAACTTGTTTTTATACTTCTATAGCTACGGCTGAGATCCAGACTGTGTTAAACAGCTATGATCGCTTTGAAATTATCGCCTTTGTTTTCTTTACAATTCTATAACTACGGTTGAAATCCTTACTATTATTTTGAAATTATATTTATAAATATAAATACTTGTAAATTATAGCTTATAAGTTATTGCCCATTTAGGAATTTAGATTTAATAAAGAAATAATAAGAACTGAATTAGAAATCGTGTAAAATTTTAACTGAAACGGTCGAGAGGCAACCAACGACATGTAAGTAGAAATTTTCTTGTAAGGACCCTGGCTGTGGCTGAGCTATCCCAGCTCTAGACACCCTCACCATAAGGAGGTTCATTACAGTATTAAATCTATTTTGATTTTTAATTACTGGTTGAGTTAGTCTGAATTTGATCGTTTTATATAGGGCTTACAGTTGTTCATTCTAAAAGTTCTGTCTTTAATTTTTTACTGTAAATGAATTATTATGTCATTCTTAAGATGTCTAAGAAATCAGGAACTTTTGCATATTACTGACAGTTGGAGCAAACATGAGTCATTAGTGCCAAGTAACACTCCGCTACCTATTGAATAATAATGTTTGTCACCTGATAATGTTGCTGGGGAATCGGACAATAAAATTATTGACGATCATAAAATATCAACAAACATTACATACAACTTTAAAATTTCGTTAACCTGTTTTGAATTCCGCGTGTCTAATTGTGAGATGGTATTTAGGTACTATTGAAGGTGTATACGAATCAAATGCACAAGATTATGGTGGTCTTGTAGAAATAACTGAGTCGCAACTATTCACATTGGAACTTGTAAAACCAATACGTTTCTGTTATAAGGTATGAACCCTTTTTTGGATAATGGGTATATCTTCCAGTTTCTGCCATACTCCAGTGCAACTGACAAATACAACAAACAATTGGAAATCCGTGCATTAGGAATTATTGAGCCATTGTGATTATCCATTGCAACATGGATAATTGTTGTTAACTATCGATAGTTGTTAACTATCGTATCGGGAATAGGAGCAAAAAAAGGTGGTGGCCATTATGGGTACAATGTTTAGATAGTGCTGTAGTAAACGCTTGAAAACTAAATTGCTTTGTCGCTGCTTCTACCAACACAAAACCGATGCCTCAGTTAGACTTCAAGAATTTGATTGCCAGAAACCTTCGTCTTCCATTAAAGAACTCGATGTTCATTACAAAAGCTACCGC